TTGGTGTGGGATTCGTGGTGGGAGAGAGACTCCGCTGCCGAGTACTATCATTCACCCCGGTGAATGAACGTCTAGCCACAATCCGCATCAAAGCGAGGTTCTTCAACATATCGCTGCTTTGCGCCCACGCCCCGACGGAAGAGAAGGACGATGTGACCTAAGGTGAATTTTATTGGAAAGCATTTATGAGAGCTGTCTCCGCCACAATGTCAAAATCGTGCTTAGCGACTTTAACGCCAGGGTGGGCAAAGAAGGTATCTTTGCACTACGGTCGGTAAATTCCTCCTTGAGGAAACATCCCCAAATGGGTTGACTCTGATCGACTTCGTCGGGGCCCGAAATATGGTTATCTGTAGTACTAGATTCCAGCATAAGAAGATACATCAAGCTACCTGGCTGTCTCCGGATCGAAAAACCACCAACCAGATCAACCAAGTTGTGATAGACGGAAGACACGTCTCCAGTGCGCGACTCGGACCACTACCTTGTTGCAGCCAAGATTCGCACTCGTCTCTGTGCAGCAGAAACCGCATGCCATCAAACACAAGGAAGGTTCGACATCGAGAAGCTGCAATCACAACAGACAGCCGAACGATTTTCTACTCGGCTTGCACTCCTGCTCTCGACAACAACTCGGTATAACCGAGGTGCTACTTCGGACTGTATAGACAATTGAGAAGCAAAGTCCTCTCTCGACAAACAAAAACCAAACTCTATAAGTCACTTATAATTCTCGTCCTGCTATATGGTGCAGAGGCTTGGACGATGTCAACAACGGATGAGTCGACGTTGCGAGTTTTCGAGAGAAAAGTTCTGCGAAAGATTTATGGTCCTGTTCGCGTTGGCCACCGCGAATTTCGCATCAGATGGAACGATGAGCTGTACGAGATATACGACGACATTGACATAGTTCAGCGAATTAAAAGACAGTGGCTACGCTGGCTAGATCATGTTGTCCGGATGGACGAAAACGCTCCAGMTCTGAAAGTATTCGACGCAGTACCCGCCTGGGGAAGCAGCGGAAGAGGAAGAGACCTCCACTCCGTTGGAAGGACCAAGTGGAGAAGGACCTGTCTTCACTTGGAATATTTAATTGGCGCCACGTAGCGAAAAGAAGAAACGACTGGCGCGCGGTTGTTAACTCGGCTATAATCGCGGTGACTACGCCAATCAAGAAGAAGAAGTGAAATTTAAGAAGTTTTAAAAATGCATTTTTTAATAAATTTAACAGTGGATAACTTGGTGGATAGTGAGTGTAGTTTGCTTCATATATATAAAAAAGCAAGAAAACAAAGTTTTTTGCGCAAAAAAAGTGGCTTATGACCGAAATTTTAAAGAAGAGGGCTATAGTAAAATCGAAAAACTTCTTTAGAACAATTCAATTTTACCCTTCGGATATATATTTGTCACATTTTCGGATGTCCCGTGAAAAATTTACTGAGTTTTCTGGTTTAAATAATCGCCTAAATAAACACATATGTACATATATACTTCATAGGAATTAAAGAGCGACTTGGAACCTTTTTAGTTAACGTCACCCGGGGAATATTCATTAGATCAGGTTTGCATATTACCTTGTGGAAGCTGGGTAACAGCAGAATCACTTATCGTGAATTATCAGATAAATTTGATGTTTCAAAAGGGACTGCCCACAAAATTTTTCTTAAAACGATCAAGGCAATTTGCAGGTTGAAAAATTAAATATGTTGGCCATCAATTTCCCAGCAGCAAACAGTAATGGAGCGTTTCCAAGCGAGCCGGCCGAATGCATTTCCTTTTTTTCATAGTCGGCTGTTTGGATGGGACAATTTTAAAATTAACACACCGAAGAAGGATGTCAGGGAGCTGCCATGACGCGAACGTATGGAAAAATAGTCCGATATACAAAGGAATTACATCTGGAGAGGTACAACTTGCAAAAGATGCTATAATTTTAGCTGGCTCAGCTTATCCTCTTTCAAAATATTTGATCGCGCCTTATAGAGATAATGGACATCTGTTGAGGAGAAACAATTTAATTATTATTTAAGTTCAACTCGAGTATTCATAGAACAAGCTTTTGGGATTTTGAGGGGAAAGTTTAAAATTTTAAATCATATTGATATTCAAAATATGGAAGTGGTATCAAAAGTAGTATTAGCTTGTGTAATTCTGCATAATTTAATAATGCTTTAATGATTCTGAAGCCAATTATCCATTGGAAAATTTGGAATCATTTAATGAAAACGATGTTGAAACGCCTGAAAACATAAATGATACTAACGAAGGTATTATCAAAAGAAATAATTTAAAAATGTTGTTTGTTTCTTAAATTTTTTATTTAAAAAAAAAAAATGTTTGTAAATAAATATATATACATGTGATGTTTTATTTCAATTCAACTACTTTAAGTACAGGACACACAACAGTAATAAAAATTATAATTAGAGATCAAGTTTACATTGTAGAWTTTTTTTTTTTATTTTATTTTTTTTTCTAAAGTTTCCCGCAGCTTCATCATTAGGTATAAATTTTCTTTTTCAAAATTAAATTTTTCTTTTTCAAATTGTAGCGCTTCTTCATGACGTGCTTGTTCTTGTAGAGCCTCATTCTTTAAAAATTCCAATGCCTCGCTGGCGGCAGTCTTTGGACGCTTTACGCTTTCCTCGTTCGTTTACGAGTTGACTTTCGTAAGAGTTGTCAGTCTTCTCGTCTCCACTCCCTTCACATACTTCAGCGCTATCCATTATGGAGCCTTGAAGGTTTTTGAAGAACTCCCAGCTTGYTGCGATTTCGCTTACCTCATTTCTTCCATCATGAATTTCGTTGATGCCGATTTTGTCACTTTTGCGCGCACGAAATGTCAAAATTTTAGTTGGTCGAACGCTTAATGATGTTTAAATATATAATTATAAACCCTAAAAATTTCGCTTTAATCAATTATTTCATTCCCTCCCAAAAAGAAAACACCAAAAAACCGATTTTTTAAGCCTCTAAAGCAGGCAGGCAGCCTTAATTATCCGATTTTTTTTTTTCAAAAGTCAATAGATAAGACATTTCGTGTTTTATTCTTATAGAAATAAAAACAAACCAATTCGTAACAATAAAATAACTTAATTTTCTAACTAACATTACAAATCTGTGTGCGACTATAATCTTGTTTTGTTTCTGACAGCAAAACTGATCAAATTGGTTTCCGTGACACCTAAAACCAATACAAATTCTGTTTCTAAATTTACGCGGTTATAGCCGAGTTTACAACAGCGCACCGGTAGGGTCTTATTTTCGCAATTTGGCGCCAATTCGAGATAGCAAGCTCAGCGAAGTCCTTCTCCACTGCGTCGGATGCTCAGAACATTTCTCTTGAAAACTCGTAAAGCAGACTCATCAGATACTGTCATCGTGTGATCTTTTGCTTACTCAGTCCGAAGTAGCACCTGTTGGCAAGAGTTATCATGCGTTGGATTCCAAAGATTTAGCCATGTGTAGAAGTTCATGCCAGTGGGGAAAGTTCTCTGAATGCCATTCACCTGGAAGTGGCCCGAAACTATTCTTTTACATATGGCTCAAGCAGCTCACGACTTTCGTTATAAGACTAACACTCCTATTCTGTGCACTTGACAAATTCAACATATTTCTAATTTGTCAAAATTTTAAATTTATCAAGCATTTCGTATTCTTTGTTTGAAATAAAAAGCTTTTTTCTTAATATTTATTTTAAAATGTCTAATGCTCTTGACAGTGCTCGTTATGAATTAAATATCTGATTGTGCATCTTGTTGTGAAAATGGAAGATATTTYACTTTTGTTGTTATTGTTAAATGAAGACGAAAATTGTGAGAATAGGAATCGCGCGCGGCATTTAAAATGTTTACGCCACGATAGCAATCCATTTTCTGTGAGAGAGAATACCTCTGTGCAAAATTTTCGATTTCCTCGTGAAATTTGTCGTCGCTTAATTGATGAACTAGCCGCACACGATGCAACAAACGCCACTACCTTTAACTGTAAGGGTTCTAGCAGCTTTGAACTTCTTTGGACACGGCTCATAGCAGAAATGTGTAGGTAACAACGTCAACTTGTCCATGAGTCAGTCATCCCTTTCGAGAAGTGTGCGAGCTATTGCAAAACTTATTGTGAAGGTGAAGGGTTTCTCTTCCCTCCCTGTTCAACAAAGAAACTTTTATAAAAACGGGGCAAGTTTTAATAATATACTAACTAAAGCTAATTTATTTGAAATATATTCCAAATTTTTTTTTTAGAAAATTTGGAATAAATTTGGAATAAATTTTTTTAGAAAATTTGGAATAAAAAGCACCATAGGAATAATTGACTACACGCATATTGCTATCAATATAATTTGAATAGAAATCAGCTGTTTACATTATTTTTTTCATTACACTTATGGGGAAAAGCTTTGCGAACTAAAGCTTTTACTTTTATCAAGATTGTCACAGAATACCAAAATATTTTTTGCTTGATAAATATTTAAATTAATTTTCAATATTTTATTACTTTGTCAAGTGTACGGAATAGGTGTGCAAGTATCCTCTGGATAGCCAAACAAACATACGTTTGAAGGCGAGCTAAAGTGTGAAGGCGCTGGGTTTAGGACCCGTCACGTTAAAAACCGTACCAAGGAAAAGAAAACAACAGTCTGCAAAAAATTTTACAATTATTTAGTAATAAAACAATATATTCTTTATTAATAATTATTTTATTCCTTGAATTTTAAGCAAAATTAAAAAACGTTAACTTCGGGTGTACCCTTCACAAGTTCAAGCTTTCCTTACAAAAACTTGATTTCGAACGTCCGTTTATATGGCAGCTATGAGTGGTCCGATCTGATCAATATATTTAGGAATTGAAGCGATACTAAGGGATCGTCTCAGCGATACTAAGGGATCGTGAGTGTGAATTTCGAAAAATCTCTGATTTTTGCGTTTTTTTTTTAAATGTTGGAATGAACTTATCACCCCTTTTTTATAAAAACTACATTCATGAGGAACTCAAAATTATTATTTTTTATGTTTATTTATTGTGTGTATAATAGTTAAAGAAATTGTTGAAATTACATGTAAAAAAGAGGTCCTGTACGATGCCCACGATTGCGGCTGTAATATTGGTCTAAAACAAAAATTTCAAAGAGATTATTAATCTGTATTAATCTATGGAAGTTCTGTTTTTTTTTTTTTTTGAAAATTGACAAAATTTTCGACAGTATTTCCTAGAAAAAAATAGGAAGATTATAAAAAAAAAATTAAAGGTTCCATAGCGCGATAGCGAATGATGTTAAAAATCTTCTCTCCAAATTGAAACTAGATATCTTCTAAACTCTTCCTTTAGTAGTGGAAACCGTTTTGAAAAACACCATTCTGAGTGTGTGTTTGTTTAAAAGTGTTTAAAGATAGTAGTTGCAGTGTTCCACACTCTGTTCCCTTTCTACAAGAAACACTGTAATAATTTGAATTTCGACTTCAAAGTTTGAGAGTATATTTAGAGTGTAAACTATCCGACAATGCAGTGCAAAAAAAAAAAAAAATCGAATTCTCGAGAATTTCACACTGAGACGATCCCTTAAAAAAGCTTTCCATACAGAGTCTTCAGATTGATAGTTCAGTTTGTATGGCATCTAGTGATCCGAGTTGCACGATTTCTTCGGGATAGTCTATGCCGAATTTCATGAAGATATCTTGTCTTTGAATGTTTAGTTTAGTTATAGCTACCATATATATGACAAATCAGCAGCTTCTTGGGAGGAAAAGGTCGAGTGCAAGAAGTTACGCTAGTGTCAATCTTGTTTTACTCGGCAACTCGAGCTCTGGTTGTGCGATGGGTAGTGTTTGGACTCCAAGTACATTCACTGGGAGACAGTCAAAGAGGGTGTTAATAGCCAAGGTAAATGGAGTTCAGAGCCTGTAGAAAATTGGTCGCGTCCGAAATGTGGTCGGTAAATTTGTGAAGTTCGTCGACACGATAGAGGAATGCTCTCCTCATGTTCCTAAGAGGGCGGCTTCTCTCCAATGGTTACTGCGAAAACAGCCTATCAGAAACTGCTTGGAGAGAAAAATATCATGCTCTTTTACAGGAATGTAGATGGCTAAATCCACTCAGCCCATCACGCGAATCATATACATACATTTATTCTAAGATCTTCACTTTTCTTTCTTTGTGTTACTTCTTGGCAAACTTAATATACCCTTTATATAAATAATAATACATATGGGTCATAGGAGTTAAATTCATGGTAACACTAATATCGAACTAAAAATGCAAGCAGAGTATCTAGCATTAGACTTTAGATTTTTTAGAATGCATTGTAAGCAAATAGTTCAATCAATATCCAAAGGACACTTGTCATCATGCGAATGACCGACACATTCCAAAGCTGGACAGTGTTCGGAATCCCACATACCAGGACCACATCTTTTGCATAAGCCACTCAAAGTACACGGTATTTTTGATAATTGGCGATATTGATATAATAGACCACGAGCTTTTCGAAGAATTAATTCTCCGTCCATATACATAGCGAGTGAACTAAAATAAAATAACATTTCATCTGCCCGCAAATCCTGAGCTACTACATCGTCGGCATAAACGGCAATAATTGCCAGACATAAAAATAAATGAAAATAATCAGTAAGATAGTTGGACCAACACGCTTCCCACATTCGGATAACCACAGATTCGGTGAACTCGCGTTTAAAACATAAAATTAGCCATCGGTGACAAAAAAGTAGCTCCATTGAACTGCTATGACATTGTAAATGCTCATAGAGCCGAGGCAACATAATGCGGATTAGTTCCCTCAAATAGTTTAAGTTTTTATCGATATCTGCGTCGGTAGGTGCACACACAAAAAGAGAACGTTGTAGTAAACCTACAAAGCTCCAAAACGTCTCCGATTCATTTTGTATTTCACACAATACTGGAGTTAATAAGTCGCTCATTCCCTATATAATGAAATGAAAATTATTGATTTGAAAACCAAAGAAGAAATAATCTTCGAGTTGAATTTACCTGCGAATAACTGTTTCCTGCATTATGAAAGGCATAATTCAACAAAATATTTTTCATTATTTCTCTGTTTGGATTGTCGTCTCCATAAAAAAATGCATTAGAGCGATCTATTCTTGCTATATCTTTTTCCACAACACATTGCACCGACTTCCAGAAATGAATTTGTTCTTCTGGCGACATCGAGTATAAGCGTTTACGGGTTATTTCTTCATATTCTTGCTTTCTAATATCCATAAAAACAGCTCGGTCATCAAATGTTGATGAAAACGAATAGCATTTTAATAAGAAAGGCCATATTGTTCTTCTTAAGCCTTTCTCCAAACCGCCAAAAAAAACACATTTGCGAAGAAGCAAATCATCTTCAATTTGTCCTTTTATATTAATTAAAGTTCCATAAAAGAAATTAGTTGTTATTTTTCTAACGCTGCCTTCGTCGGGATGCAATTCACGTTTCTTTATCTCTGGGCGGCATACCATGAATTGACGATACGGTAAGTTTTGTTGCTTTAGTCCAGGTGGAAATGCAATGTTGTGCAGAAAACCGTGCCATTGATGAAGAACCTATAGAAAATTATATAATAATAAATTAGA